TATGTGCTTATTTTTTTTAGTGGTTAGTACATATTTGAAGTTACTCTGTAATACCTGAGTCTGATTCGCTCCTATCCAAAACCATTCTGAGAAGCACTGTGGCACTGCCTGGCCCCTGTCACCTTCCTACCCCACCAGCTCCAAGCAGTGATGCAGGACCAGCCAGGACTGTGGAAGGGTTTGATTCTTCCAGAGGCTGCAGTGTGTGCTGTGCCATTCTAGGGCACTGAGGGGAGGAAAGGTTGGCAGTTAGTAAGAATATTTGTGTTGGAGGAACTGATTCCCTTTGGGAGTTAGGCACCCCAGGGGCATGTAGAACTACTTTAGCTCTTACCCTGATTTGGGCAGCTCACTTCTTAATAGTGTCCAGAGTATGCAGAAGAGGGACCAGAGGCTGAGTATGAGAATCATCCCAGAGCAGCTGGGATTGATGATGAGGAAATGTTTCTCTTTGTTGGAGAAATGATATGTTATGAACCTGGCAGCAGTGCTGTGCTCACCCATGTTCCTGTTCTCCGAAGTAGCGAGGCACAGCAACAGCAGCTGAGATGATGTTACAGTACAGTTCTTACTTTGATTTCCTCTCTGTACATTTGGAAGAAGCAGCAGTGGTCTGAGAGCAGTGGTTCTCATGTTGTTAGGTGAAGGGTGTGGGTTACAGTGGTCACCGTTCACAAGGATTAAGATGATGTCTTATCCACTTCTTCAGCTGACATCTAAGATTGAATTAGAGCTGTTAAGTCTGTCAATTTAAGACTTTCCTGCCTTTTCATTAAAGGAGACATCCTTAGCCAGGAGAAGAGTGCCTAATCAAGTGCCGTATTGGAGTATGTTGTCAAAAATAATTGCTTTTTCTAATAGCTGAACATCAGCTAATAAAATAGGTGTTTTTAAAATGAATAGCTTGTCAGATGCAAACCATAGTGTCTGTAAAGAAGATATTTGGAGATTGACCAATAAAAAAATTAACTGTGGTGTTGGTTAACCTTAATTTAGCAGCAGAGAATGTATTGGGTGCTACTTATAAAGAGAAAAGTGAAGAAAAAGGAAGTGCTTTGACACCATAGTGTAGCATCAACGAAGCACTCAGGAAATGTTACTGCATCCAAGCCAGGCTGTTGGACTCTCTGTGCCTGTGTTCAGGCATGTGAGTCTGTCTTGGCATTTGCCCCTGGCACAGGATCTCTTGGCCAGTGATTCACTGTCCCTGAGATGTCTTTTTCATCCTCTGGCTGAAAGCCAGTCTTTTCCCTTATGGCTGGTACATATCACAGAGTAGTGATAGCTGTTTCTGCACATCCCCCTTTCCATGTACGTTGATGACAGAGGGGTGATGTTGCATCCTTGTTATCCTCAGGTTTGGTAGCAAGAGTATCTAATCTATGCACAGAAGAGAGTGCAGACTGGGCTTCCACTTGCTGTTGAGGCCTTGTGGAAGAAGAATTAAGACAATGTAAATTAAGGTATGTCAGGTGAGGTGGTTGAGAAGGCTACTTAATTAAAAAAATAGCATGTACTTAGGGCTGCGGGACATGTCTTGATGTAGGCATCTTAGTGAGACCAGAGCTTTGCCTTCTGTAGCAGGCTCTGAGGAGCACTGCAGTAGCAGTGGTGACAACCTCTATTTATTTTGTCTGCTGCTGTGGACAGGGAAAATTATGTGCGTGTTTGACGTGTTGGTAATGAATTTCTTTTGTACCAGGCAAATGCTGTAGAACGTCTTGTGAAAACATTCTAATTAAGGAGTGGATCTGAGTAGACATACAATCTCTAAAATATCAGAAGTTCCACTCAATTTAATGTACATCAGCAGCTCCCATGAGAACATTTCAAAATCACTAAGCTTCTGTTTAGCAAAGTGGGGATGAGAGTAGGGGCTCTGAAGGACTGTAAATGAAAGATTGCCTAACTCTGAGGGAATTGTCTGACTTGTGAATGTTTTAAAGCAGGCTTCTTTTTCAGCCACTGTTTAAACATGTGCACGAAGCAGATGTTCATACCAAGCAGAGCCTTCCACAGGTCTGCTCATGTAGTCCCAGTATCTTTTCAAGATCTGGCAGAAGTGACCTGTGAATATCATTTGTGTGATGCAGGTACTGAGATTACACGGAAAATGATTCTGGTGTAAGTGAAGGCTTCAGTGTTTTCACTTGTGCATTCATTTTTTACACTCAGAATTCCTTTAGAAAGGAAGTTATATGTAGAAAATACTCCTTCTAGAGCAGAGATGAGTTGTTTAAAAATTCATATCCACTGAAAGCAATCAAAATACCTTAGCTATGTCATGTTTAACAATTTAAAGCGTATTTTTAACTTTCCTTATAAAACTTAATCTTTGAGGTCATCAAACAGGCAAGTCGGAGCCAGCAGGAAGCTGCATGCTCTGTGCAGCCCTGCCATAGGAATTGAGCATTCACTGACCCTTTCCTTCATGGATCCCATGATATTTTGGAAGAAGTTCATTGTTGGCAGACCTGTGTATGTGCATAAAGTGTTCCTGAAGTCTGAGTTGATGGACATGTCAAAGTGAAACAGATTACAGAACTGGAGCTCAGAATGGGAATGATCTGGTGGCTGCCCCATGTCTGCCTGAGCTCTGCCTGCTGTGTTCAGAACTGCTCTCCTCAAGCAGGAGGCCTGCCTCACTACTGTCAGATGTCACTGCTTTTTTTCCTGTCTTTGCCTCACTACAATTCTTATGTACCAACTGTTCTCTGTGTGGGAGAGTATTTTTTCTGGTATGTGCAGTGTTCAGGTCCAGACCTGGATTTACTGGACAAAAAGAGTAGGATCTCCCTCTTTCCCAAGCAGCAATAACCATTTGGCAAGGACAATTAGCCATAATTAGTGATGATGACTAGTGTCAGGACAAGTGGAAATGGCTTTAAGTTGCTCTGGGGAAGTTTCAGGTTGGGTATTGGGAAAAATTTTTTTCAGAAAGAGTGATGAGGTATTACAGCAGGCTGCCAGGGAGGTGGTGAAGTCACCATCCCTGGAGCTGTTCAGGAGCCATGGAAATGTGACACTGAGGGATGTGGTCAGTGGGCTTGGTGAGAATGGCTTGATGCTTGGACTAGATGATCTTAGAGGTCTTTTCTAACCTTCATGATTCTATGATGGATTCTGTGACAAGTGAAGTGCCAGGGGATGGGTGATTCCCTCCCAGCAGCCTGGGCTGGGCCTGTTCTCACTGACTTATTCCCCTTGTGGAGCTGCTTGTGCCCCCCAGCTCCCCATCCTGCAGGCAAGGGCCCCATCCCCTGCCATTTCTTTCCACTCATTTCACAGGGAAGCAATCACACAGTGGTGTTTTGATTGTATCTAGGCCACCACTATTTTCTGCCTCTTTTAGAAGCCTTTCTTCTAGCACAGTATGCTTCCTTAAAGGAACATTTAGCTGGTCTTTCTGGAAACATCACTTCTTGAATTGCTCTTTGGTAACAAGCATGATTTATAAATCTTGAGGAAAGATGGACACATGCAGCAAACCTTGCACAGAGACATAGCTGTGTGTCAGGAGAAATTTTGTAAGTGAAAGTATTCCTGTGCCCAGTTTGGTGAGGAGTGCAGTGAGTGACAGCTTTAGCAGTGCTCAGCTTGGCAGAAGATGAGCTTGGAGCTTTTTGCACCTTCTGCTGAAGTTGCTGAGAGGGCAGGTCTGCACTTCATTAAAGCACGTTTGAAGACTCCTCAATACAACAGAGGTGCTACATGGTTTGGGGGGGGAGAAAGTAAGCAATTAAATTGCTTCTTATACTTTTGGGGTGTTTTTTTCTTTTTTACAAGAATGTTTCCTAAAGAGGTGTAGATGGGACTGCTGCAGGGCATGGTCTAGCAGGACCAATTATTGGCTGGTTATGCCAACCAACCTTGTCAGGGTATTGAGGAGTTTAATTTACAGATACGAGCTGGGTGTACTGTGTGGTTACTCTGTTGCTCTGGAAAGTAATTTGGATGGGTAAGTAGACCTGCAGTACCAGATGATAACTTTTTATATTTCATTGCTGCAGAGAGGGAAAGAGGTTCTTCCCCAAACATTTCTCCTTCCTACAGTCACCCCCTCATTCATTCAGAAGAATTTTCAGGACCACTGGGTGAAGGAGCAGGTTCTTATTTAAATTTTGGAAAACCTCTGGATGCGAATTCCCAACCCAGTGCTGTGCAGAACCTCTGGTCTTGTGAGAGTCTCAAAGACTTAAGATCTGTCCTAATATACTCTGGTGGGCTGTCATTCCTGGCATACCAATTCAATTTTCTTTGAAGGTGATTCTTCTAAACACAGTTGATTTTACTGAAGAGCAGGTACAAGGCACAATCCTTAACAGTATGTATTAATTAACACTAGCTTCTCAGTGCAAGGCTCACTCTGCACATGGACAGTATGAACTCCTGTTACTCAGCACTTAAGTCTGGCGATTCTTAAATTCTCTGCAACTGTATTGTTGATGATTTGAGTTTGCATATGTGCTTGAACATTAGTTTTAAATGCCTTTTGTTTGACTACAGGTGTTGTCATCACAAGTTGTTTTTATTGGTAGGCACTCATTACTCTTCTGTTGCCCAGTGAAATGGGCAGTTGTGCTTACACTTTCTGGGCACTGAAGAAGAAATACCTTGCTCCCCAAGATCCACGTCTGGAGGTTTCAGGCATTTCTTCTCAGTCGGTGCTGGTACATATTAATGATCTGATTTTTGTATAGCACAAATGAGGTTGCAGTAAAGTCACATCAATAAATGAATTAGCAGTCAGACCAAGTGTGTTGTGTCCCGGAGCTCAGGATTTCTACTCTGGTTTTTCACTCCTGACCATTCTCCCCTCACTTTAGGATAAAAGCAGTTTCTCAGCTTTCAATGGAAACAAGTTCTGAGCAAGTACTTATTTGGAGAAGCTCTGAATCATTACCTTATGTCTTCCCATTCTGCTTTCCAGCCTGAGATGCATCCTTCTAGCTTTGAGACCAGATAAGCCAACGCTTAATACAGTATTCTTTTAATTTCAGTCCTACATGGAAGATCACCTGAAAAACAAGAATCGTCTGGAGAAAGAGTGGGAAGCTCTTTGTGCTTACCAGGCTGAGCCCAATGCCACCACTGTTGCACAGCAGGAGGAAAACATCCAGAAGAATCGCTCCCGGGCTGTAGTACCATGTATGTATACTTTAATTTCCATGGCTACTATTTAAATTCTTGATACTTTTTCTCAATATCCTTTGCACAGCGCTTGGAGAGTTTACAGATGCCAAGCAAACAAAATACAGAGTTGTGTACATGGACACTAGAGAACTGTAGCCATGAATATTGGCTGGATCCATGTCCTATTGTCATTTCAGGCCCTGTTTGTCTTCTCATAAGTTGCATATATGTTAGAAAAATGCACATTTATATCACCGACTGCTGCTGCAGCTGTGCTGTCTCATGAAATTCAATAGCCAGAATGTTTTTCAATGTTGGAATATACTTTCTGTGCGAGAGTGGCATCTGTAGCCATTCAACAAAAAAAGTTTGGCTTGTTTGGCCAAGTTGGTATCGTGTCCATCCAACAGTAATACCAGCAGTCTATAATCAGAGCTGTATGATCTGTTTATCAGATACTCAGCTGTACTGAATGAGCCCCTCTAGGCTTCAGTGGATAAGCTTGCAAACTGGCTTCTTTCTCTGCTAGGCTTAGGATGAAAAGAAGGAAAATAAAAAGGGAGCCAGTTTATATTCCTAGAATCTGCTTTTTCTGTAAGCAGCCACTTTTTTGAGTTTGAAATAGAGAACACATTTTTCTTATGCAGATGTATTTCTCATAGTTTACATTGGTGATCTGTGGCCACGTGTTTTATTAAGTAACCAATGAAACAAAACTGAAGCTGAGAATATATGCGGAGTCCACAGCAACAAAAATGCTCTCAGTCAGTGTGCCCACAATCCAGCTGGGTAACTTGGCAAACATATACAGCTACTTTAATTTTTCAAGTGCCTTGATAACATTAATTTTGCCTATGAGAGCCTTGAGTACTATTTTTCCTTTAGAAGTGGGAAAATGACAGGTAAGACATTAAGTAAATGTCAGAGCCAGATTTGGAGTGAAGGTTTTTTGGAGCTACTTGGTAATTTCCCTGAGCCCATCAGTGCCCACGTATTTGTTTCAGTGGGATTTGACTGTCCTCTTAAGTTAGAGGTTCTTTCTGCAGTACTGTGCTGCTTGGAGAGGAGCTCTATAATTTGGAAATACACATTCTTATAATAAATACCATACTGGTCAGAAGGCTGCTAGGACAGTAGCAATACTTGATTGACTTCATGTGTTTGGGGATCACATCTGTTGAAAAGTTCTTAAAAAAAAAAAAGATGAAAGTTGAAGGAGTGTAATACCTCTGTGCTCTCTTCCATCCCCCCCCCAAAATAGCATTATAGATATAATCTGAAGTGAAAATGCTCCATAACATGTATTGATCTGAGTTGATCTTTCTGCTTAAAGCATTCTTGTTAATGTGGACTTCCAGTTGGGCTGTCTTAAGCTGCTCTGAGTCTCTGTTCATGAATGAAATCAGATTGTTCCTGGTCCTGCCTCGGAGGCAGCATGAAAGCTGCAGGTGTTGCCAGAAACTGATGCTGGGTTGTTGAGCTCATGCAGTAAGTGTGTCTGCATAATACAGTGAGCAGTAAAGTAGGGACCTTCAGGCCATTCTGGCAGCAAGTCCAGAAGCAATATAGCTGTAGCAGTGCTAAAGAGCAGGGAATTCTAGCTTAGGTGTCATGCCACACTAGACAGCTGAGCTATTTTCAGAGGCAGTCTTCAGTTGGCAGTCTTTCTCTTTTCATCATATCCTACCACTTGGATGGATCAGCCTGTAGTGATCAGCCATGGGTGTACAATTCCCTTCCCCTTGCTTCTTGCATAGTGCTGTGTGCCTGTGCTATCCATGTACACCAGCACAGTAGCTACAGTTTATCTGATGCTTTAATAAGAAGCATTTTGGCACATTTAAAATTTCTCTTGACTTTTGCAAGAGTAAATAGCAATCTATTGCCTTTGTTACAATATGGAAACTTCTGTTCTGGCTACGGGTGTGCTTGGAACTTTCCTCTTTGAGTTGCACAGAACTACCTGCTCTCTCTTCCCAAAGCTGTGTGTGTGCTGGTAAGCAGCTGTCATGTTGTGTCCTTAGAACTACTTCAGTGGATGAAAAGTGTGGCATTTTGATAAGATATTGGTTATTGTGGACTCTAAAATTAGGGATGAGAAAAAAAGTTTGCATAGGTCTCTTTTTTTGTTGTTGATAGGCTTTTGATATGCTACTAAGTTGTTATGCTGCATTCAGTTTATTCTCATCCTTGTCCTTTTTCATATTTATTATCATCTTGACAAGGAAAAACAGGATTGCCAATTCATATAAAAGATTTAATTTTAGGAAGGCTTCAAAGAAGCTTTCTTATTGTATTGTATTTACTTCCAGTTTTCCTTTCTTAACTGGTCTTAAAATATGAGGGTATTTTTTACTGGTTACACAACTGGTGCCATTTATAGATGTCACAGTTTTATAAGTTACTCTTTTACCTATCTTCTCTCTATATACAAGTTAGTGTCAGAATCACCCTGACGCTGCATTTAATTAATTACTACTTGTTCAAAAAATTGTGATAAGTGAAGTAATTTAGACCTGGTTAGCAAGTGACATCCAACCAGCAAGCATGGCAGTAGCTTAGGGCAATGGAATACATAGACTTACCTTTTTGGCAAGTGCTCTGGGATAAATGAACTTGATTTCATTTCAGATCTCAGAAGAGTTCCATGTTGTATAGATAAACTGTGGACAAAATAATTGATCAGTAAGTTCAGATTCTTCACAGTCTTCAGACTGCTTTGCTTTTGCTCCTCAATACTTCACGTTCTTACCCCAGTGCAGTTCTGCAGTGTTTTTATACATTCATGTGTAGGCAGGGAAATAACAGTCTAAATCTATATGAAAGAAAATGGTATTCTGGGCAGAATGTGCCATCTTGATTGCTGGGAGATGTGCCCTGCTGTGCAAAGCCTGAATTCATACAGCCCAGAGCTTCCCATATCCATTGTTTCCAGAATTTCATGTTGGTTCTGTTCCTTCAAAAGTGTCTAACTAAAAGGACACAGAAGACAGAAAGCATTAGGTAAGTTGTAAGTTATATTGCCAAGCTTTCAATCCTCATCTGGAAAACAACAGAGGTAATAGATCTTCATTAAGTCACAGGGCCACTGTGAGATACGTGGAAGATTGTGAGATGCTATAGTACTGTAGTATTGGTGATGTTGAAATAATTTGGAGTTTTTGGGGCCCACCTTGGTTGTTTAAATACAGGAATTCAGTGCCATTTGAGATGCCTAAATTATTCAAGGCTAATGCATATTGCTAGGAGGAATAACACAGGCTTTGTGGGAGACCTGTGCACTCCTGGCCAATGGCCTGAGTATCCATATAGTACAAACTGATATCTGCTGTGTTTTTTTAATCCTTTGTCCTCCATCCTCTACACTTATACTCTACACTTATACTTCGTGTGTATATAAAATACAACTTGCATTGTATTTCTCCTCAGCTGTAGGTTGGTAGTAGCCTTCTTGTTCAGGAAGCCTCTCTCTGCCATACACTTTCATCTATGTGTTTTATTTTTCTTTCAGCTGTGGTTTGGCTGGAGTGATAACAAATGCAAAACAGCGCAGCATTTGTCTGCAGCTATTGTAGACATTTGAAATGATGGCTAGTTGTAGCTTGCCCAGATTGCAATAGCACGTAACAGTATTTCTTTCTCGTTCTTTCTCCTCTCCTATTTCTTCATTCATCTTTCTTGTGTGCTTCTTAGATTGAGCTAATATTTCTTATGTTCCTCTCATCCTTCCTTCTGTTGTGTATTTCTTCTCTTTTTGTATTTCCTTCCTCTCTTGCTCCTCTTTCGGCTCTAACATAACAAATATTTAGTTTACAGAAAAAATGAATGCTTGTACATCCAGCATTTTCCCTACTGCTTATTGTTGGTGGTTGACCATGTTGACAGTGCTCATTTTAAAGTGTGTCCGTTGCATTTTTTTTCTTTTCTTGCTTGTTTCAGGGGCACTATTATGCTAGTTCCTAGAAGCTTTGAAGTGATAACAGTCATAGGCAGGCACAATCTTTTCATTGTCAGTATGAATGCTCGATGCTGCAACTGAAGCACATGTGGGTGAAGACTCTTGATATATGCAGAAGAGATGTCCAACCTCTTTTGCACCTTTTTTTTCTGACAGCAAGTACGGAGTCTCACCACTATCGAAGTATTATGTTGTCTCACCTTACAGGGAGGCAGGATAATGATACACTAGATACACTAAAGCAGAGAGTAGGGATGAAATACGTGTTTAAAAAAAAATCTGAAAGTACAGATATGAATCTTCTCTTTTTACTGGAGAGCCATGCAGTCATCTGTTTGCAACTTCTGATGAATCAGTTTCCACACTCTCTCACATTCATTATTTGAAAATTCCTTGCATGTTTTCTTTGGTGATTAGTTCAGGTGGTTTTGCTGTCCATGGGATGTGCTTTCTCTCGGTGCTTACTTGGCCTAAGATCTGTGAGAGACACAGGTTAAGTGCACTGAATGTGCTAAGTCCTATGGTTTCTGAGCTGTCCTCAGGCACTCTGTGGGAATGCTCACTGTAAAGCTTCCTATTAAAAAAATCTTGGCTAGTCCCAAGATCTCAGGTGCAACAAGATCGCTTTTGTTTCGTATCTTTGGCATAGCAGTGTTAAAGTGGAAGCAAACAATATACATCAGCAAGCTCTCTCTCGTCTTCTTGATTCTCATGCTATGTTGAAGGCTCACTTTGTGTGAATAGTAAAGAATGGATCTTCATTTGTGTGACATGCCTTGCACGCATCTAATCTTATTCCAGGAGAAGACCTGTGTATTAAATTTTAGTGAAAATCTAGTGACTGTAAGCAAGTCTTCATTAAAGTCAAGCAAACTTAGAAGCCCCCAAAGTAGAGGCTTCCTGAGAGGGCAGCTCCACAACCTCTCTCTGCAGTGCACTATGCAGGGTAGCTTTGCTGAGGAGTGTGAGCTGTAAAGGTTATGTGTCAGATGAAAGTTGTTTGAGATTCATATGTAAGGATTTAGACACCTTTGGCATAAATTATCTGCATGTGGTCTGGTCTTCCTTCTCTGGCTGATGGAAAGAAACTGGTGCTTTTTAAGTGTAATTTGTCTTGCCTGTTTGAGACAGCTAAATCAGGATGAGATGATTCATGACCCAGAAACATTTTTTTCTTAAAGATGACTGGAACATCTGCATTGTCGCTTTCTAAATACAGACAAATCAACCCCATCCATTATATACATTTGAAATTCTAAATGAAGAGATGTAGTGTTTTGGATGTACCTGCTGTAAACACAATTGAGCTACAGCCATTAAAAATACAGACTAAAAAATGGTAAAAGAATTGTGACAATAGACAACCCCATGAATAAGTCTCTTATGTCCAGAGCTGCTGTGTTCTCTACCAGGATGCCTGAACTGGCTCCGTGGCCAACAGTACAGCAACATCTGTGTATGCTCCACTCATACATTTAGTTGTAGATGTGCTGTGTTTTATCTCTCCTAGGAGCATCGCCGAGTCACATTGTCTCCTCACATCACTGGCATAGCACCATACAGCAGTGGTGTTTGATCAGGACAGATTAACTTTCTGTCCAGCTCCAAATTGTGCTTTGGTGTTCCTGCTGTTTATTTTAAAGAGGAGCCAGATGGACTAAATCCATCCGCTTGCTTCTCCCATGACCCTGCAAACACAGGAGTGTTTTCTGTAATACTATTTTTTTTCCTAGTGACTTTCCTAGTTTAAATCTTAAACTCCCTGAGCAGCACCATATTGTGCACACATTGATACTCAGCCCCTGAGATATCTCAGCTTCATTCCTGAGCCAGGCTGTGACTGTGTGGTTGTATCAAAATTACGCTGCATTAGGAGTCAGAAGAAAGTATCCTGTCTGCTGTTTACCCTGTTTGCCTGTCTTGAAGCGCATGTTAATCTGGCTTTGAATGTCAGTTTACTTTACAATGGATAGGATACTTGTATAGAAACTTTCATCTCTTTGTTTGCCTTTGCAGATGATCACTCCAGGATATGTCTGAAAGCTGAAAATAGCCACGACAATTCAGACTACATCAATGCTAGCCCAATTGTAAGTACAACAGTTTATGAGAAATAATCCAAGTAATCTTTCCCTGTATTTCCATGCTGTTAAAATACGCTAACTGGGAGTATCTTACTGCCTCACAATGCTGGTATCTCAGTGTCCTTTGAAACTGAAGAGAAATTTCCTACAAACGCATTCAATTCTCTTGTGGATTTTGTTTCAGAACCAGAGACACTAGGTAGTTGTTCTTCTATCTCACAACAATGTCAGTTTTCTTTACTTGATATTTGCAGTGTAGTGATGATAAATATCAGTGATATGCCTTTTGCTTAGCCCTCCTTCTTTGAGGAGACTGAGGTTGGTTGGCAGGCTATAAGAAAGGAGATAAACTCTTGAGCATGGTCTGCTGTGGTAGGACAAGGGGAAATGGTTTCAAACTAAAAGAGGAGTAGTAGATATAATAAAAAGGTTTTTTACAACAGGGTGGTGAAGCATGGGCACAGGTTGCCCTGAGATGTGGATGCCCCATCTCTGGAGACATTCAAGGTCAAGCTGGACAGGGCTCTGAGTGCTTGATGGAGCTGTAGTGTCCCTGTTCATTGGAGGGGGGTTGAATTCGATGATCTTTAAAGGTCACTTCCAACTCATACAATTCTGTGAACTATGATTCATTCATTTCAAGCTTGTCTTACTGGCTAATGTCATAAGAGGAATGGTTTATGCAGGTGCAGGCCACCAAGCTTCTGAATTTCTGGAGCAAGAAGTGACGTTTCCTTTTCCCTTACTTCATCTGTTGCATTCCTAGTGCATTGTGTTTCTTTAGCCCTCCTGGTTCTTTGGAGGGCTTGCCGTTTTGAAAGGAATAACAAGTTCCCTTACCTCTTTATGTTCATTCAAACTGCAAATTAGGTCTGCCCAGCTGTTGCCACTGGATACCTCAGCATGGCCCAGCTGCCCTTTCTTGTCCTACTCATGCTGAGTATGGATCCTTGCTTGTCTGTGAAAGGTGATAGGGAGAAAAGCTCTCTATTTTTAGACACAAAGCAGGTTTGATGGAGCCAGGAGTGTTGCCCTATCCTAGCTTCTCAATGGAAGCATCAGGATGCTATTTGAAGGGGAAGAAAGAAGCTGTGTCTTTGACCTCTATGGAAACTACTGCGATGCATCTCGCTTTGCACTTGGTTTTTATGCACATTACTGGAAAAAGTTATTAGAGTGAAACTTTAAAAGAACTTAGGATGGAGTGGGCTGTGTGTGCCATTACTGTCTCATTTTCCTGGGGAGTATCACTCCCCCAGTTAAATCAATTCATGTGGGCAAGGCAACTGACAATTTGCAACAGCATGAGATTAGAGGCTGCTTTCTTCCAATGTTGTTGACAATACTTTCTCCCCCTTCCCCCCTCAAAAGAAGAAAAAAAAACCATCAAAACTGTTCTCTGAGCTTCATATTCTTTACTTTGATTGGAGTTCAAAAGCCTCATTTCACTGCATATATACAAATGTTTTATTCAAAAAGTTAAAATACAAAGAATGCAGCAGACATCTTTAGGAAACTTTCCTCTTTCACTGAGGGTAGACAAGAGCACATGCAGTCTTCAGGGATTTCAGCTGCCATTTCAGAGGACAAGGGTAAGATGTGCATGGATTGAAGCTGTTTTAAGGCATCTTGAAACACTTCTAGACCAAGCTTTATCTGGCCTTGGGATCAGATCATCTGAGTAAGTTTGAGCTCTGGGAAATTTGTATCCCACTTACAAAATCATACACAGAGGCTCAACTCCAGGACTTCAGTGCTCTTTTTCTTTGTTTTTAGAGCACATTGGGTAAATTCTGTTTGCTCAGGCCTTTATGGCATAGCAGGAGTTGAGAGGTTTAGAAGCAAGTGCAGGTGTTAACAGGGACTGAGATACTGTTTTCCTTTAAGTGCTTGGTGTTAATTTGTACTACTTCAAGAAATGGAACTACAAGGTTGTTAGATATAGTTCTAAGCCAGGTTCAGAGCTGACAGTAGCACAGATGCTGTATTTTTACTGAACAAGTGAATATGGACTTCTGTGAGTTACCCAGAAGTCTATGTGGGCACAGTCTAACTGGTTTTGGCACACGGATTTGCTTGGTTGATGGGTAAAATCTGGAATGCATTTATATGCCTGTTTCAATTTTATTTCTGGATTATAGTATAGATATTCCCTTAATTACAGTGAGAAAAGTGTTAGATCAAGTAGTGTTGGGAATGGAGAAGCTAAGGTATTCCACTGACATAAATGGCAAGATATTTATGTTGTTTGGATGCACCATGTTACTTCAGGGAGAGGGTCTCTACTGGCACAGCACTTAACTCTTCTGGTTTTACAGGGGGTTCTAGTCTGGTCCCTCCATTCAGCACTCAAGGATATTTTCTACCATAAGGTTAGAAGATATTTTCTTTTATGTCGCTTTCCCAGACTCGAGAGTTCTGTCTGTTAAGAAAAGTCGCACAAACTGAATTTCTTCAGGTTGTCTCTCTGCCTCTTTATGTGCTCAGAGATACATAAGTACACAGGTGTTTGTCTGGGTTTGGACAAGCACCCATGATCTTTCATAGCCATAGAAAACTATCAACAGAAACTGTTAAGCTCCACTTCTTCGTGATAGGGATCCTACAGTGTGGGAAGGAGTGCCGCAGCCCACGTTAGCATAGACAACCTGTTAGCCCATGGAAAGAGATGCTCCAGATGGTTTTGTGAGTTTGTTTAGCTAACTCAATAGTTGTGCTGTTTTGAAAGATTTCCTGCAAACTGCTTCATTTCAAGAGAGTGAGATCTTCAGGTTAGAGTAAATTTTCTGTTAATCTGGAATTGTTTTTCTATGGTGAGGTAGAATTTAGGAGTAATAGAGACTTTCAGTGCTGTTCACCACCTTGGAAGCCTGCTGAAGTATTCTGTCAGGCCCTTGATTCTGCAGTATTTTCTGCACTGTTAGCTTTTACTTGTTATTACTACTACTGTTTGTTTAAGATTTTCTGTTAGTGGATTTGGAGTAAAAACAAGTCTACCTTTATTTGCTCTCCAAAAGTTCTGCTGTTTCTTTCTTCCAGAACATTGTCTTTCTACTTAAATATCATCAGTAATTACCATGTCAGTACTGTGATGTTGCTGGTGCACTTGTACCTCCCAGTGCTTGGGCTGGGAGAGCATTGTGAACTGTAAGATGAGCACTAATAGCAGAGGCTCTGAACTGGAAGAGGACTTCTCCTCCCTGTATGTGTGAGCTGTCTGCCAGGGGAAGAGTACAGAATAAAGTAATTATATTTGAGCTTTGGGTAGGGAGGCTTCCAGTCATGTATGTGTTGCTGGGTATCCAGCTTCTAGGTCAGTGGTCCAGCTTCCAGCTGGGCATCACTCAGCCTTGCCTTAAGTCTAAATGAGCACTGCAGAACACAGTAAATAAAAAATCCCATTGCTAGACAATGAACTGGCCACCTGCCCACATCTTCCTTCCTTTAAAAAAAAAAAAGTTGCCCCCTCAAGAGCAGCTTTCCCACTATCATGTTGTGAAAACTGGGGTTAGATTGATGGCCTGGAAGAAGGTGAGGAGAACCAACAGAGATTTAGTCAAGTTTTTTCTGTAGCCATTCAACATTTAATTTTCATGTAGCTTCAGGCCAGGCAAAATGAGTCATTGGGAGAATTTGTGGGGTAAAAGTGGGGTAGAAATCTGTTTCCCTCCTCTCTGGAATAAAATAAAGTACTATGATAATAGCTCTGCTATTGGCTGCTGAATGAAAGGCTTGCAATTACAGCACAAGGAGACCCTGACTGTGCAGAATAAAACTGTGATAATTACATCTGTCATATTTGTACTTAGTCCTCATTAAATTTCGGGAAAATCATCCAGTGGTAAATAATGTGCAATCTTTGCTTTTAAATCAGAGGTCATGAAAGTAAATGGGAATTCTGTTTTTCCTCATAGGGTGTCTGGGAGAGAAAAATCCCATCAACTACATTTAAAAACTCAGTTTGCTTATTATTGAAGACACCAGACAGAGGAATGTCATTAACGTGACAGTTTGTTCAAACACAGCATACAAATTTCATCACCAGGAATAGGCTCTGAAATTCATAAAGGCATTCACAGCCAGATCTACTTCTCTCATTCCATTAGGGGGTTTTAAAAGAAGGATGGAAAATTTGTTTTAAATTTTAATCCAAACATGAAGGTGAGGTTTAGTCTACCTTCTTTCGTTTTAATGCTGAAATTTAAGTGATTAGAGTTCAAAAGCATTTAGTGGATACACTTTTTTACTTTTATAGACTATTTATGCCTTACAGAGTGCAGTAAATAGATGTAGAGACAGATTATATGGGCAGTATATGCTCATTGAATCTGGAAACCACCCAGTACCTTGAATTCATACAAATTAAAGGCATTAATCAAAGTTCAAGTTTATTTCCGTCATATTTAGCCTCCACTGGATCTCATTCTGTTCTTATATGATATAGGAATACTTCAGCTCAGACTTAGATCAAGGTGAACATAATGTGGCTGAGAGCACATCTTCACCAGCATTGTAGTGTGCAGGAAGTAAGGATCTGAGAATCTGAGGCAGAAGGTAAAGGGCAGGAATGAATGAGTGTATAATGTACGTGAGAGTTTAAAACAGTCATCGATGCCTCTTGACACCTTTGCTTTTACTTCAGTTTCCAGTTTTATGAAGACTGCTTCACAAGGATCTGTATGTACTGCTGTCGAATACAATAGGTTTGAGGATTTTTCTCGCAGTATGTATTGATATTGCTGTACTTCATCAGCATTATCAGTGCGATCATGCAGCAGGGGGATTTCTAACTCACAAACACTGAATTCTTCAGAGAAACAGAGCAATTGCATAGTGGAGCTCTTGTATGAAAAATGAGGAGTTGTTTTTAGTCTTTAGTAAAGTAAATTTATATTTTCTGCTCTGAGATACAGTAAATCAACTTTAATTAGAAATTACTGTAGAAAAGCACAAATATGCCACTAATATATCTAGTAGTTAGGGATTGTTTTCTGTGGCACTTCTTTTCTAGCAATAAACATGAATGCTGATCCTGTTTGTTCCCATTTGCTTTTGGTAATGACCAAAAGACCACAGTTAATATGGCCTGTTCTAGTATTTGATCCTTGATTGCTTTCTTCCTTTATACAATAATGTGGAATCCTATTGTGAAACATTATCACCAGATTTGCCTCTGCAGTAATACATCAGAAAATTAGATTTCTACCACAGCATTACTGTTGTAATAATTGCACCTTTTTTCTTTTGAGAAAAGGCTGTTCCACCAATTCTGATTCAAGTCATGTGAATGTTGTGCTTTGATGGGAACATAAAGAGAAAAATCTAGCTTTTTTTTTTTTTTGAACAATTACTGTTAGGATGATTTCTGAAGGATTTTCCTTAGTAAAATATTAGCAAGCAGTTGATTTTTCACTTTTAATAATTCTCAGTAGTACGAAGCCTGCTGTTCCCTATTCTTGAAGAATTTTCTGCTTTATTTTGTGGTGTGAGAAATCTGAAGGATCCTTGATTGGAAAAAAAAAAAGCCTTTTACTTGATCCTTGGTTAGTTACTTTAAAACCTGTTACTGACTCTTATTTTTGTATTTGAATTTCTGTTAACTTTGATGGATGGCCTTGGTGACCTTGAGAGAACAAAAAGACCATAACAAAAACATCGAAGAACTGTCCTTTATAGTCATGTTAAAACTGGGTGACCAGAATAGTGATTGGTTGCATTTTGCTCAAAATACGTGTTTTAAACAGTCCATAAAATAGAAAATTGATGAAACCAGGAATTTAATTTAATTAGTTTAATCTTTGCTCTCATTTCTGTTCAGTTAAAGATCATTTAATAGTGTGATGAGGCTTTCTGCCATCTTCTGCTTGCTCCAAGCAAGAAGAGTTTCTGCTCATAATTGTTTTCTGCACAACACAATGTGCTTGGAATGTAATAATTGTAATTGTCTCTTGAATTATTGCTAAACTGGTGATACACTTCACTACTCTGTGCTTATTGTAATGTTCACCGTGTTCCAACAGCACCTTTGTGACAGAGGTTGATTAATGCTGAAATGCCAAGATTGGCCTATTCCTGAGTCAGCCAGCTGAATGTTGACAAGTATTTCCTCCACAACAGCACTATTTTGCATCATCCTTGATTTCTTCTGCCTTTGTTTTTCTGGCATAATGAATTTGCTTTAAGGATAAATTAAATTATTATTTCACAAGTTTCGTATGTTCACTGTTGGTTATATTTCAAAGTCAGACTCTTGAACTCACAGGTAAACTCACAGGTAGTTAGGTGGCATCATTTTCAAGTAAGCTGCATGCCTGCACATTAGTTTCCATGGGCAGCAGTACGTTCTTGTTGATGCAGGTTACTTTTTCTAAGCTGAAATTTGTAGTTAGTGTAGGAAAACATTTTATTGCATGACTAAATCCTATGGATCTCTGTAGGATTCAAAACAAAATACCTAACCATGAGTCATTGTATCATAGAATGGCTTGGGTTGAAAGGGACCTCAAGGATCATCAAGCTCCAATGCCACCAATGTCCATATCTAATACTAGACCAGGCTGCTCATAGAGAGAAATAACCTTTAGGCCTGCCTTTGCTTAATCACATCCGTTGCTGTTCTCATTGTTTGATTCAGTGCCTCAAACGTAACAGAAAGCAAAGCGCACAAAAAGGTGCCCAGTTTGAAATGGTTTGTAAGTTTCTTCTACTAATACTGCATTCTGAAGAAAGTTAATACTACAGGGTATTTTGAGATTGGGGGAAAATGTCCTGCTATCAAAATTGCTTTTGTCAAGAGGCGAGGCTGAAATTTGTTCTGAGCAATTGCTTGTTGTGAAGAGTTGTTTGCTGATCAGAGAAGCATCTCAATGAAGCTCAGAATAAAATGAAGGTATTATAGACATTCTGGTCAAGGTTTCTGATAACCGTGGGTGGTGAATTAAAAGTAAGCTTTTATTCAGTGGCTTCGTTTTACCTGTGTTGTGTTGTCATGGAGAATTTTAATATCAAGTCCAGTTTAATTATACATCAGAAAATTAGAAGCATTAAAGGATTCTCTTCTTTTTTGCAACATTCATCACATTGTTGTTCTGTTAGAATAACTTACATCTGTTCTTTTATGGTTCTTCCCGCTTTTATGTGCATATAATTATGAGGTGCCTTCTTTTATGCTGACATGTACCATCACTGAACATTTTGATAGGCTATGAATAAATTCAGGAGATGCCTGTTAATGCAAATGTGACTCACATTCATTCTTATTCAGATCTTTACTTATAGAGCAGAATCATGCATTGAGACAAATTTTGCCTTCAGCTACATGGGTGTAAGTTAACTCTTGCTGTTTTCAATGTCTTTTTTCTTTATGTTTGAAGTTTTGTCTTGCCTAGTTCAGGGTCGGAATGAGTTTGTTTGTTTTTTAATCCCATCAGCAGATCTTCTTTTTCAGCAGAGTGGTTCCTGTGATTTAGAACCAAGAAAACCACCCATCGTTAGAAAACGTTCATTGTAACACACTAATCCTATTTACTCTTCACGGCTTTGTTTCTTAGATTCTTTATTTTTTCTGCTCAGTGAATTTTCTGCTCCTTGAATTAAATGTTATAATTAAGGTCTTTAGGCAGAACTTCTTCTGTTGTGGGCAAATCCATGCATTTAGGCAACTCAGCTAACCAGAAAAAGCCAGAAACTGAATTTGTTCCCCATTTTTGTTTTTTTTCTTGAATTACATGAGCCCTTGACTGGCATAGTGGAAATGAAGAACATTTTTAAATGTTTGGAGTATTCTTAACGCTCAGTGTAGAAAAATGTTTCAGATGGGTCCTAGGTTGCTATGAAACCACAGCACTGACCTCGGATGCCTTTGTCAGCTACCATAAATGATCTTACGCTGCATATAGAAGACATAAGACATTGCTCATCAGTGTGCTGATATTCATGTGGTAGCATCAGCCTTTTGTGGAAAACGGTCTCTTCTTGCTTGCTGATGAAGAATGGAGGGATGTAACAGGCCTTTGGGAAGCCCCTTGTTAGTGCCCAGTGTACTTTCTGTTTGTAATGCAGCAAGGTATTGTCCTTTAACTAAATGTAGTCTATGTTCTCATTCCTTATTTCAGATGGACCACGACCCCCGAAACCCAGCCTTTATTGCCACCCAGGGCCCTCTCCCTGCTACTGTTGCTGACTTCTGGCAGGTAAGTTAAGCATCTCTTTGAAAGTTGATTTTTACATAGCAAGTCAAATATTTTGTTGCATTCTTGAAATGCAGAGTGTGTAAAATCTGTTGTATTTGAGTTACAATAGTTACAGAAATCATAGCTGACATATCTTCTTAATCTAGTATATGGAAATTAAAAACATTTATGAATGTGAGAAGCCCTTTGAAGGAAGAGTTGATCTAGAAATTATATGGAAAAACCTCTGGTCAAATTCTTCATATTTTAATGTCAAATTTAAGATCAGATCTCCATAACTAAACTGCTGTCATGTACCGAGTGATTTTCAGAGGTCTTGACCTTCTTAAGGGCATAGTCACAAGTCAGTTCATTCTCCAGATCAAAAAAGATCCAGCACAGTGCGTTGTGAATTTTTGCACTGAAATCTATTCCTCACATGCCCGAGTTCTCCAAAATGCTTTAGTGCTTGTGCATTTTCTCTACCACAGGTAGTTAATATCCTACTATGTGAAGTAAAGTAGGTCCATACTTTTTTTGCTGGGATAGAGACAATGGTTACCAATGCACAAATAGGAGTGTTTGCAGCCTTTTCAAGTGCTTATGCAGCTCTCCAATGTGAACATACACACGTGGCCAGGCTGAGTGCCAACATTACATGCTGTATGTATTCCTTTGGAAGTGTAAAAGTTTGCCTGAAAGCTTCTGGAAGCTGATTGAGTAGAAATTATTATAACTGACTTGGGCTTCTCATCAGTATGAGCATGTATTTTTATTTTATTTTGCTTTGAAGAGAGAGACTATTTAAGTACGTATTTCAGAAAAGCTGTTGTGGTTTAGGAGCTTCTATTGAGTTGAAATCACCTTCTTTCTTCATCTGCACTGCTAGGTCTGTGATTGTAAGTGTCAGTTGGACCCTACTAAAGAGAATTCTATGTGCTTTTCGTAGCACAATTCCCTACTGTTTCTCTGATAGAAGAGCAGTCAGGAAATTTTCAGAATGTTTGTTTGATTTTGAGTGTCTGGATATTTAAATACTCAACCTGAGATATTTTGGGCCTTGTTTTTAGAAGTGCGGAACAAATGCATTCTGCTTGAAGTGAGTTGAGCTGCTCTTCCGGATTACATTTTCAAGTAAATTGTGATTTTTGCCGTCTATGTTTGGTAATTAGACACAGTTGAGAAGACTAGGTTTTTTCCTGGGTGAGAGCGTTCCTTGTATCAGGCACGCTACCAGATAATGTGTCCTTAAGTTAAACAAGCAAAATCAAATACCATGTTAGCACATGCAGTGCTATTTTAAGACCCGTTTTAATTGTATTTTTCTTTCATGTCTGTATACTTACATTCTGTATATTTTTTACTTGTTTTGTCTTTACTATTGAGAAACTCTAGTTCTCATTTTTAAAGGAGACGTTAAAAGAATTGTATAGAAGCATTGCAGCTAACACAGATATCAGAATTAATCATACCAACGTTGTGTAAAGGAGATATTTTGTTCTTCTCCTATTCTAATTTCAACAGTTAGACAACCTGTTTGCACAGACACGGTGACCAAAGCTGAAACTTTTTGTTCTGTAATCCAAGCTGCTTCCATCCAATTCTGTTCTTAAAGATCTCTTGACTTTATTTCTTCATGCTGCTTATGACTTTATTTTCCTTCACTTTCCTTTTGCTCTTTTTAGTTGTTTCTTCTCCCTGCAATCTATTGGTGACAGATCACCCCCTCTTCCCCACCAGATTTGTTGTACAGAGCTCCAAGGAAATCATCTGGCCACCCTGGTTCAGCTCCTGCTCAAGTGTGGCTGTGTTCATTGTTGATGTGATGTACTTCTATTGGTTTTTCTGATGGTTTCCATTGAAATGTTTCTTCATTTTGTTGATATCTGTCACTTCAACATACCTGTGTCTGTTGGTTGTTCTGTTACCTGCTTTTTTTGGTCCCATCAGCATTGGGTAAATCACATTCCATGCTGCTTCATGTCCCAAGCTTTGTTACCTGGCCCAGGCTATTAGCCAGGTGTGATAAATGAGCTAAGTCTAACTCCTTGCATAGCATTGTATCAACAACCACTAAAATGCAGCAAGTCCGTTGCAAAAGTAAAAAGCCATGGCTTGAAGTTGCTGCCCTTCATGTACAGAAGCAGGAGCTGAGATTGCGTTCATTTTTCACCTCACCTAACAGTAGCTATATAAAGTAAAGTAAGGGAAACTTGCCATGGAGAACAGAGTGTTAACTTCTTTCAAGCAGAATCCTTTGATGTTTACTTGAATAGGATTTTCTGTAGTTTATTCAGATTGTGGTGCTGCCACTAGGGATTGTTTAAAGGTTCAATTATTCATTTTTGTTACGTCGTCTTAGTGGTTCTCCTCTCCCTCCCTCATCCACCCAGATCAGCTGGTGCTGGGCTGGGCTGCTTGTTCCCCTTCTGCATGCTCAGTGGAGCAGTTTTCCAACTGATGGTAACAACAGTGACCAATTCCACAGTAGAGAGACCTGGAATCATTCGGCTGTTCCTTGTCTAAATGTACAATGCTATGCTTTAGCAATTCCAACAGAGACTCTTGGAGCTTGGCATCGTTTTCATTGCCAATATTTACTAGATCTATTGCTTCCACTTCTTGCAGACAGAGACTTAAATCCTATTTGCACGGTGAGCACCAGCCACTCCACTTCTCCTTGGCTGTCAGACTACCCCAGCAAGAAGCTAGTGTAATTGCTTCCACTCCTTTAAGCAGTTCAAGCTGTTTTCAGGAAAACACTTGTCTACAAATATTTGTTTAACTTGAAAGTGTAAAACTACTTCTTGGCATTTACAGCATGACTAATATCCATCATGAAATCCAAACTGTTCCTGACCTATCTTAATTAGGTTCAATGCTTAATTCCAGACACTGTTTCTAAACTTAGTTTCTCTTAAACCTGGATTGAATTCTTCTAACAGTCAGGCATTGTACTTATTTTGTGGATTTAATGTTAGACCAACGTTTTGGTGGTCTGAGGGACCAAATGCATGTTAGCAGAGCGATGAAGTTGTAGATACTGCTGATTCTCTTTTTCCAAGGTAGATGTGTGAAAAAGGAACCACGTTGCTTAGCCCCAACGCTGATCTGCAGTGCTTGCTCTTGTGCATCTCTGTGCTTTCTGTATTATCATGTGGTTACTCAAATTCTTCATCTCTGTTTAAGACCGAATTGATTATCTAGTTTTGGATAATCTTTTTTCCTAGTTTTGTTGTCAGGCCTCTCTAAAACCAGGTGTGTAGATCCAGTGCCCAGTATTTTTGTGCGAGTGCTGTTAGATGCTCAGCAGTCAAACTCATATTTACTGCTTTCACATTGCCCAGATCTGAACAGGGATCATGGTCAGTTCAGTGTCTTCTCTTTCCCAGTGCGTGCAAAGCTTTTAATTAATCATTGATGATGCTTTATCTAAGCTTATCTTGTTTAGCGTTGATGAGCAGATCCAGGCCTAGTACCCTATGAGGCTGAAAGAGGACAAGTTTCAATCTTCTCACTATTTTTTTCAAATATTATTTTTTGTAAGATGAGGAAGAAGAGCAAGTATTGTTCCTCAGTACCATTTCACTTCAGCCACTAGAGCTGCTGATTAGATGTAGCATTTTCTGTACATGTTTCTGTTCATTTGGATTTTAATGTTTGCTGGAGAGAGATTTGCTTAATGGAAGTTTTTATTTCAGAGAAGCAGTCTTTGAGCTGGAGATACCCCCACATTACTGTGTGTGGATTATTTTCAAATGTTTTTCAAATCAACATGAGGTCATAAAAAGAACAATGCTAAAAAAAAAAAAAAGGCTTTACTGTGGCTTTTCTGATGATGCAAAGCCACTTCCAAGTATCAGACTTCCCTCCAGTCTACTTCTCCAGCTCCTTATATCCTTACCATAGCTCCTGTCAGCCAGCAAGCCCTAAGTTAGTTCCAACTTCCCTGATTTACCTTTTTCTTTGAAAACTTTCTAGCCTGCAGCAGATGTGTTGTCAGTCACCTCATTGATCTGTTTTGCCACAGGGCTTCCTAATCTGTCTGGATTCCCTGTGTTTGTAGCTCAAGCAGAGATTTCATCTCTGCCTGCATGTCATCTCTTAGACTGTTCTGGAAATTTTCCAGCCACTACTTAATTAATTTTGAAAAGCCTCCAGCTGATTTAGGCCTTCTTTTAATTTCATCTGGTCTTGTTTTCATCTCTCTTTACCAATTACTATTTCTGAGATATACCTCATTCATTGATTCTATTTTGGTTCAGTGGGAATTCCACCTCGCAATTCCATTTCTTGAAGATTGGGTGACTCTTCTCACACGGTTTTAATCCATTTTTACCTGAGTGGTTAAACAATTTGCCAGGTCTGTGTGTTGTTTTCTTCTCAGCTGGAAAGAGAATTCATCATCAGGACAGGTTTTTGCTTTGATACAGTTCCATTTTATTTACAAAGGAAGTACAGTTTTATTTCTTTGAACAGAAATAAAGAGAGGCAGAATCAAATTCTTTTCTTCCAAACCTCGTTCACCCAGTGTTTTGCCCCCAACCTTTCTTTTGGCTTTTTGTCTACCAGGATCACAATGCTAGTTTGTCAGCTGTGCCAGTGGTTTCTTTATTCCTTTTACATGTTTATTCCTTTTACATGTTCTTGCATCTTATCTTGATTAATCTTGCCTTTATTAATGCCTCTCTCTACATTAAGCGTATCAGTTTCTGGAAAAACTCACAGGTCCATATGCTTCATATTTCATTTGTTTTTGATGATAGCTTCTGTAATTTCAGTTATCAAGCTTCTTAAAAGGGTTTGCTTGTTTCTTGCATTTATCTTGAATGAAAGGTGATGATTTTGTCCAGCAGCTTCAGTGAGATTTCACTCAGCTCTTTCACATAGCACTATTAAAATTCAACATCTCTTTGAACATAATTCAAAAGAAAGAGGATGTAGAACATTTCTGATCTATAACAAGTTTTCGCAGCAGGAGTTCCATGTTGTGAATAATTCTGGAGGCATAAAATTTTATT